TTTTGTTTTGGTTTGGTTTTGGTTTTGGTTTTTTTTTTTTCGAGACAGGGTTTCTCTGTGGCTTTGGAGCCTGTCCTGGAACTAGCTCTTGTAGACCAAGCTGGTCTCGAACTCACAGAGATCCTCCTGCCTCTGCCTTCCAAGTGCTGGAATTAAAGGCGTGCGCCACCACCGCCCGGCTCATTTCTTTGAAATGATGTATTGCTTTGAAAGGATGTATTACTTTCTGGTTTGTGGGTAAGAATGGTTTGTGTGCGTGGATGTATGTACGCATGTGCAGCACATGCATGCAGTGTCCTGGATGGCCATAAGAGGGCATAGGATCCCTTGGAACTGGAGTTACAGATGGTTGTTAGCTACCATGTGGGTGCTGGAAACCAATATGGGTCCTCTGCTAGAGCAGTAAGTACTCTCCAGTCCCGTAAAGAGGAGGACACCGGAAGTGATGCTAAAGATGGCTTGGGGAGTAGGTGGTATGTGCTTGTCACTGCTTCTGCCTTGGCTACAAGGTCAGTACCACTAACTAAGCACAAACTGGACAAAGCGATGGCGCTGTCTGCTAGGTTTGTGCATCCAAGAAGTAGAATGCAGGTGTGTGAGGACTGAGTGGCAAAATTCAAGAACTGAGATTGAAGATAAAAAGGAGAGATGAGTTCGAGGCCAGCCTGGTCTACAAAAGCTAGTTCCAGGATCCAAAGCCACAGAGAAACCCTGTGTGTGTGTGTGTGTGTGTGTGTGTGTGAGAGAGAGAGAGAGAGAGAGAGAGAGAGAGAGAGAGAGAGAGAGAGGCTCAAAGCTGGGGGCAGGAGGGGGGTGCATATTTTAGATTTTACAGAGGAGGCCCAGAGGAAATTTTGAGCAGCAAGGCTGGCAAGATCAGGTTGGGAAGAAAATTCATGGTATGAAGAATGCTTCAAGTTTAGGGAGTGAAACAGTTTTGATTGCTTGGAAAAGATGCAGGGACAAATGCTCACAGGGGTCGTGGAGATGAGGAGGCACCTGGCAAACACGTTTAGGAGATCAAAGCAGTGTGTTTTAACTGAAGTATAAGGGAGGGAAATCAAAGGGGCAGCCTTTGATAGCTCGATGTAGCATTATTACAGCTGAGACCCTACTCTCTCGAAGGAGAGAGAAAGGTAGCCTTTCTCTTGGGCTGGCTCCATTTCATGCCGGCAGTTTTCCTCGGCAGATGCCTCACAGTCCAGGCATCTCACACATGCTGGAGTCTCCATTATAGGATAGGCTTCTCCTTCAGACTTCATACAATGGCCTTCTGGGACCTTCCTTGCCAGTAATCAGACCCCACCACACATTGCCTGGCCTCCGTGATCAGTGCAAACGTTCATGACCCCTCACTCTTGCATCTAGTTTGCCCATGAAGCCAGCACTGCTCTCCACTGGAGACAGAGGCTGGCCCCTTGGACCACAACTCCAGCAGCCTCCATGTATCTTCAAGGCCAAATCTGGGGGAACACTGCTTTAGGGCGATGTTTTCAGGCAGGGACCCCTGCAGAGAACCCCTTCAGATACATTCCTAGCTCATGCTCTCCTTTCCAAATGAATCTGGGTTTTTTGCAAGCTAGAGCCTTCAAGAAATGAGTCATTGGTCCCAAGGCACCTCTCCTACTGTCCCAATGAGAAGCCAAAGGCTTCTCCTAAATGGCAGTAATATTTTTAACAATTATACGCACCCGTCTGCAACTCTAAGCTTGATGAAAATCCTTTTGTAATGATCTTTCTGTCCCTTTAAGAGACAAGCCACGCCCACTCCCTCCCCCATCCACTGAGGCAGGCAGATCTTCCTTTCTGCTTGCAGCCTGAGTCTCTTCCCTTTTCTGTCTCCCTGCAAGAAGCAGCTTCTGCCTCTCCCCACTTCCCCACTTCCCCCGCTTCTCTCTCTCTCTCTCTCTCTC